AAGTAGCTAGCTGCTTAAAATAACTTCAGAAGCAATTACCTTGTAATCATTAACCTTAAGAATTTAAAAAAAAGAATTTTTTTAATTCTTGCCTCTACCAATCCATAGCAAAAATTATAAATGTATATACTACTGTATTGACTATGCTGTATTGATTTTACTGTATTGTGATGCTGTGATCAATAGGATAAGAGTCCATATTTTGACAGAGGCAAGGTGTACTCTGTGAGGGAAGGAAGCGCTCAGTATCTAGTTCCGTTTGCAGATTCAAGTCCTAAAACAAAAACTTTCAACCTTTGAGTGTGTTCTGCAGATAGTGGTTCAGCTGATAGCTGTAAGTGAACACACTTGGCCCATGAAACAGTTCAATTCTCTTAGAGCATTTTATAACTCTTTCCAAAATTAATTATTTTAAATAATTGTTTCAGACTTCACTTAAAATACTGATCTTGCATTGTTGCTGTCTGATGAAATGCGTAATTGTACTCATGACCGCTCTGTCTTTGGGTTTAGTATAAAAGTGACACAAGGGTTTTCCTTCTTCTGTGCAGCTCAAATATGCTCCACCAGGTGGCATCATATCTTTGCTTACTACCACCCCTTTCTGAAGGAGTAGACACAAGCTATGAAAAGGAGTTTCTGCTGGAGTTGCTGGTAAAACCGTAATTAATATTGCTTGTATTTTTTCTTCTGCAAACTCAAGATCACAGCTTATTTTAGCATTATAGTGTAGTAAAGTAGGACCTCTTATTGGACTGCTTGTGAGCCGCAGCAGTGTTACAGCAATAATTTGGATTCTAAAATAGCATTTAAAGATAAATGATAAATTAGCTATTTGAAAATGTTGATTTATAAGTGTAGCTTCCCTGAGAAACTAGTATGTGTATGTCTGATCAACATCATAAATGTTGATCAGGAGAATCCCAATGGCAGTATTTGAGTCCCTCTGGGGAAATTGTTGCTGTATATGTAGCTACCTGTTTTTACCTTAAAAAATAATATTGGTAAGAGAGCTAGCTAGTCAGAGTCTATTGGGGTGCTAAAGGCTATTCAAAATATTCTTTACATATAGTGTTTTCTTTTTAGATATTCAGAATATGGCGGTGTTGCTATAGGCTTCTGAAGTGGTCAATATTGGGATAGCATAACTTTTTTAGATCCTTTTCATTGGCTTATTTTGCCATTGCTGCTTTCTTTAAAAAATATTTAGATAATTTCCTCAACTTTAGATATTTTGTAATATATTTACAGATACCATGAGGAAACATTTGTTCAGATGACATACTGTAGTATTGGATCTTTTTTTTTTCCCCAGATAAGGAATTAAGACCAGCTATTGTTGGACAGACAGCGTTACAGTTAACTACTGAAGAGAGTATCTGTTTACTGGAAAATTTTAAGTCAATTATCTGCTAAGCCTCGACTGAATATTTTCAGTTCTTCTGTGCCAATAGAGTAGCCAAATAATTGTTGGATGCTAGAACCCTGACCAATTACTTGAACTGTGTGTTTATTAATCTTTTGATGTCACTGGATGGTTTCAATTGTAATTAATAGAAAATAAAGCTTTTTAAAATGGAGAAAATGGCAAATGACCACATGTACATAATCAGCAGCAGTTTAGTGGATTAATGTGAGTTTATCAAAGATAGCTTTATAGTCCCATTTTGACTTTTACTGATTTTAAATTCATCCTTTCTTTTTTAGGTTTCCCGTCACGAGCGACGAATATCTCAAATTCAGCAACTCAACCAGATGCCTCTTTATCCCACAGAGAAGATTATTTGGGATGAAAATATTGTCCCAACTGAGTATTATTCTGGAGAAGGTATGGTTAGTAGTTCAGTGAATTTTTATTTCATTCAAATTGTGTTTTGAATGCTTTTATAGCTTTGAGTGCTGGACTGTAAATGCTAAAAAATAAGCAGTTATAATGTCTGTGTTCATTCCGTCTTTAGAACTTACATGTAGCAATTTAGCATCTTTCAGTGTTTTTAGGGAAAGGGTGACTTCAGGATTTCTGTTTAGATTGTGACGCAAGAACATTGATACTAAATTATTAGCAAATTAATAGCGAATTTAAAAAGAAAAATCCAAAGTCTTTGTTTTTACAAAGCCATTTATTTCTTCCTTATCTGGGTAACAAAAAACAAAAAAAAAAATCAAAAAAAGGCAGTGGGAGGAGAAAAATACCACTAATTATCTTGCTCTTATTTCAGGGTAAGAGTATATGCAGAGTCACTGAAAGGTAGCACTTGCACTGTAAATTCAGAACCTAGGGTAATTGGTCGATGTGCTTATAATCAAGGAAGCAAACTGCAGGTATTGCAAAGAAGGAATTAGACAGTTTATAACTTTGCAGCAAACAGCACATGTATTTTGTCTAGTTCTTTTAAAAGATGGTTGTGCTCTTTAAAATCTGTTGCATGAAAATTTTGGTTTGGAACATGAAAATTCCATATTACAATGCATATCTTCAAAGCATAGTACAAACTATATTTCTGGTTTGAGCAGTGAGTATTCTATTCTGCACTTTCCTCCATGTACTTTTGGTTCAGAGTTTTCTTGTGTTGTAAGTTTTAGGTCTCAAGCTCTGCTGCTTAGTCTAAGGATATATTTTCTCTGAACCAGTATTAATGATAACAGAGAAATGTTTTTGAAATTTGATCTCTTTAGAAAAAGCAGGAGGGGGGCAGACAACAAAGGATCTTTTTTGCAAACAGTCACATAAACGTTACCTAGAAATCTGCCCAAGACAGATAAAGTATACAAGTGGCACATTTCAGTATCATGCTAAAAATTAAAGGTGGTTCAGATTTTTGAGTAATAGGTTTCCTGGTAGGGTTTATTCTTAAAAAATTGAAAGGATCAGGGTGATTGTAATGCTTCCGGAAATTCATATTAAGACGTATTTGTTCATTTGTGCATGGGTTTTTTTTTTCCTTCAGTGAACAGTTAACACAGGTCATTATAATGTTGTAGAGCATTCAGCTTCTTAAATACAAGTTGAAGTAGCTGTACTGTCATTCAGACTGTATTGAAAAGCTGACATCAGTAGGAGTCAACTAATTGTGCATGCACTGTGTGCCCGTTTTGTGATTTATTAGCCAAATATATTCATCACAACATATGTATAATAGCTGTAGGCAAAAAGTGAAAGAGGAGTTAGTTACAACAGCTGTTTCTGTGCTGTTTTGTGTTGTTTTGTTTATGTTTTAAATAAGTTTTAATAATGGTGAAATGCTGTAATTTTAGCAAGTAACGGCTGGTGGAAACATTTTCTCCTCCTGTAGTGAACTTGCTTTATCTTTATATCGTTATCTGTGTACTGATAGTACTCCGGTGAAGCATTTCTCTTACTGTCAAACAATTATAAGTATTCTCTATTTTCCTTTTCTCAGTCTCAGTTTACGCTTTCCCTTTCTACTCTTCATATATTTTCCAACCCTGATTTCCTGTCTCTGCCTCATGCTTCTCTACAAGAGTGCATGGTACCAAGAAGGAAGTTGTGCAGTCAGTAGGAAAAAAAGTATACCAGCTTGCTTATTTTTTTTTTTTTGGTAGGATTGTAATTTTAGAGAAAATACGAGGGGATAGAGCATTCTCGCTGTGGATAGATGTAGGAAGTCTTGGTTAATTTTGGTTTGTTCCTATTAAGCATATGAAATGGCAGCCTTTTTTGAAAAATTCATTCTGTAGATTTTTAAGGGAGAGGAATGCTATTAGAATTAGCCATTGAGGTCAAGAGTATATACTGCTCCAGAGATCACCAGAGCGCTTGTGCTTTGTTTTTGTGGTGGTGGTGTTTTTTGTTTTTGTTTGCTTTTTTTTCCTCCTCTGTAGTCTCAAAAGCAGCTGAATTGTTTTGGTCCAAAATTTAAATAAGAGCAATTCAGTCCAAGGAGGATAAAAGTATAGTATTAAAAAAAAAAAAAATGGGTGAGGAAGGATATCTCCCTCTAATAAGAAACGTTGGGCAGGCCTAAGAGGCCTTGCCCTGTGTGCATATAACTAGCTTTACAGGACAGGTTTGTTTCTTGGTGTTGGAAAATGTGTTTAAGTACTTTATCACCGTGTGGCTTTCCAGAATAGAAATTTTTGTGTTCTGTCACCTTTCTTCACTGAAAATGCATCTCAGGGCATGTGAAAGCCAGTATATAGTATATGTACTGGTGAAAGATTTCAAGGAGAACGTTACAAAAGGCTGAAGCTTTCACAGGTCTCAAGCATCGGTGTGAAACTGTAACAGTAGTCCTAGTAATGTTACTCACTTAACCTATGCAAATTGTTATTGTGGAAGGTTCACATCTAAGACCATCCTAAAACTATCTAGGTAATTATGGGACCTAACTAGGTGTTTTAATACTCCTTGTTCAGTTAAATCTATTCTTCCTGTGCTTTCCATTCTCCCTGAAAAATCTATAATCAGTAACAGAAATTTTTAAGGAAATTAACTTTTAATACACAACTTTCTTGGCTTAAAACTTTTGTCTGCATTGATAGTTGTGGCTTCTAATAAACATAAAGGTTGGAATTGACGAATTGTTGAATAGTGCACTGCTTTTTTTTTTTTTTTAATTAGTTAATGAGTCTTTTTATCCTTATTAAATGCTGGTTTAAATGTTGAATTCACAAGGTACTATTTCGGTGTCCCACGTTTGATTTGTATACCACCAAACTGGTTTATCCTGTAGATAGTGAAGGAAAAATTTTGGGAAGAGGAAGGAGAAAAATGTGCTTGCTTTTTTTTTTTTTTTTTAAGGTATAAAAGAAGGCATTCTTAGAATCTTCTAGTATTACCAACTAAAGAAAACCCTTAGAGTAATACATTTATGTATTTACTAATATGTAGAAACCAATACATTAATTCATCTTTCTGTTCATCAAATATCTCCTCTACTTCCCCCACCAGGTTGTCTCGCACTTCCAAAACTGAATTTACAGTTTCTGACTCTTCACGACTACCTGCTAAGGAATTTCAACCTCTTCCGGTTAGAATCTACCTATGAGATTAGACAGGACATTGAAGATAGCGTCAGTAGGATGAAACCATGGTAATATTTATTAACTGACACAGCTAAAGTTAAATTGTATTGAAAGCACATTTTAGAATAAATAGCTGATGTTGTGCGTATAGTGGATGCATAACAATTAGCCTGTTTTACATGATTGTAAAGGTGTAGTGTATTTTATACTAACGTCTTTCATAAGGTGCTGTCATCCTGGGAGGTGATTCTGCAAGTGTGTGTTGATATGTTTCCCTGTGGAACAAACAACCTTCACTGTATTAATAAGGACAAGTTAAATCTCTAAACATACTGAGCCTTGACTGCCTTATGTGAAGCCTGGAAACTTTACTATCGTTTTGTCTGCTATGAGAGTTGTTACTGAGTATTCTTGAATTTGTCACCTGGCTGCATTCTGATCTTCTTTAGGTTTCTACGAGTCGTTTGGTATGGTCTATCCTATACTCAGTAGTTGCTTTTAGTTATCTTCCCTGTTTCCTCACCTCTCTCTGACTTTTTTTTTTCCCTTTGTCTGTTTTAAATAATGCCAGCATGAGTTGATCTTGTTTTTTGAAATGGCAAAAATAAGTCCATTCTTGTTACAGTTCAGTTCTAAAATGCAGGATGATACAAAACTAGCATGTAAAGTTAAGACCTCTACTTTTTTCTTACAGCTGTCTGATGTAAATTATTTCACAGTTTAAAAATGAACTATCTAACATCCTTTTTTTTTTTAATAGGCTATCAGAATATGGAGGTGTGGTCTTTGGTGGATGGGCTAGGATGGCACAACCAATTGTCTCTTTCACAGTGGTAGAGGTGGCAAAGCCCAATATTGGTGAAAACTGGCCCATGCGAGTACGAGCAGATGTCACAATTAATTTAAATGTCCGCGATAGCATCAAGGATGAATGGGAAGGTACTTATATTCTGTGAAATAAGGTTCTTGAATAGGTGCTCATCAAAATATCTTCTGACTTAATTTTATTTGTAGGAAAGGTTTTATATGTGAGATTAAAATTTGCAAATCTGTATGTACTATTTAAATTATTCAAATTCCAAGTCTAAGAAATGTAGACTTTCCTATAATAAGATGATTAAAGTACTTATTGCGCCCCTGGGGGAGAATGTTTACTGTTTCACACTGATGTCATTTAGTTTGTAACTGTAAAATTCTACCTCTCAGAGGGAACATGGAAAAGTAATTTAGCATATGAAATTAATGTGCATGCTAGTAATATACCATTGGGAGAGTAGTGGGGAATGTGTGACCTGTCTCATATACAGGTAGCAAAGACAGATTTTGATTTAAATCAAACTAGTGTTTTTCAGTAGTTTTCAGTGCGTTTGAATGTTGTCAGGAAATGGTGAGTGTACCAAATGCTCTGTGTTTCTTGAAAACATCCTCAGGCGATACTTTTTTGCTTGGGGAACTGAACTTGTTGGCAAGTGATTTGGAAGTATGTACTTGTTACTTGGATCATCAGTAAATGTCACTCTCCTCTCTTTTGTTAGAGAAACCTGTTAAACGTGCTAGAGCTGCATAGTGTGATTATAGGTCACATAGCACAAATGCTAAAACTGGAGCATGTGATAAATAGATAAGCAGATACAAATTTGGGAATGTAAATTTCCATTCACAGTTTCTAGTAACGTTAGGAGTGTTGATGTCAGATGGAGGATGTTAGCTGACTTGACTTTACCTGAGGTAGGTAACAGCAAGTTTTGCAGCTTTCAGATATCTTCAATCAATGAGTTATCAGCTTTAGAGCAGTAATGCTTTATATTAGGTAATGGTCAAACCTATTGCTGAATCAGGTCTTAGATGAAGAATTGTCTGATGTAACAAGTTTGTGATGAGACTGCTTTAAGCTGGATAACAATATCCAATAAATAATAAGAAATTACTTGCCTCAAATGAAAGGGATCTTTCAAGTGAGGTTCAGCAATGATCTCCTCTTAATTCTGCTCAAAGTTTTTGTTAACCATATAATGGAATACGGCATACGTTTAGTAAATTTTGAAGGTTTTACAGATCTGTGAGAGTGTGCAGGTATGCTGGAGGGAAGGATTAGTGTTATGACGTTAGTGATTGGAAAAATGGACTTCTAAAAATAGGATGTAATTTAATAGGGATGAATATAAGATACTAACTTAGGCAGGAATAATCCACTACACAAATCCACTCTGGGGAAATAACTTGTTAGGTATTAACTCTGCAGAAGGAAAAGAATCTGAGTTCATGATGATTCAGAAGCAAATGTGACTCAACAACAATATGCTGCTGCTGAGGGAAGAAGAAAAACACTTAAAGTTATACTGGGATTTATGAACAGGAGCGTAGCCTGGAAAACAAATGAGTTGGTTGAGTGGCTGTCTTCTACCCTAGTAGTAGGTAACTAAAATAACTTTTTTTAGAATTTTGTGCCTGGTTCTAGATAACTGCACTTGAATTGATTTAAATCAATTTGAGAAAGTCCAAATAAAGGAACAAGAATAAGAGATTTATGATTTTTGAGGAAAGATTGAAAACATTTAGGTTTTGTAACCTAAAGATTACTGGGGATAGAATAATCTTGAAATACAGAAGTTTGTTGTCATGAAAAAAGGAATTAAATTCTCCTTTTCGTATCTGTAATCGTAGCAGGTTTTAGGGTGTAAGAGTAGTGGGAAAGGCAACAATATCCTGTGGTGCTGTATCCGCTAAGTTAAAGCTGTATTTAAAAATAGAAGGCATTATGCTCTGAACAAGTGCTTCTTAATTTAAAATAAATTTTCAAGTATTCTGTTGTATGTATGTTAAGGAATGGAAATGGAAAATAGCATTCAACCAAATCACCGAATGTTCCTTTTTGGAATCAGGTCTGCGTAAACATGATGTCTGTTTTTTGATTACGGTACGTCCCACGCAGCCTTATGGCACTAAATTTGACCGCCGCCGACCTTTTGTTGAGCAGACTGGCCTGGTGTATGTCCGAGGTTGTGAAATCCAGGGCATGTTAGATGAGAAAGGACGTGTTATTGAAGAAGGTATAGTGTACCAAAACTTTCTTGAAAGTTGTTGTTGTTGTTTTAACAAAATCATTGACTTTACCTTCTCTTTTAAGTGATGCTCACTGAATTCATTGCCTGCTTGTAAAAACAAGCCAAATTAAGAAGTCGTCTTGGAAAAATTTGTTTGATTAAAAATCTGATGTGAGTTCTTTCAGTCCAATACATCAAGTATGTTTTGTTTTTAGGAATAAAATAGCTTATATTTTTTAAAACGCTGTTTGAAGTGGAATGAAAATGTGAAAGAAAAACATTGTACTACCATGCAGAAACGAGCTTCAATATTTGATTATGCCCAAATTCTGTTTTTGAAATGAATATCGATCACTTAATTGAATGATAATATGCTTTTAGCACTACTTCAAATTGTAATCTGTTTGTTTCAATATGGGCAGGACCGGAACCTAAACCGAGACTTAAAGGGGATTGCAGAACATACAGGGTATTTTTGGATCCAAACCAATATCAACAAGACATGACCAACACAATTCAGAATGGAGCAGAAGATGTATATGAGACATTTAATGTAATAATGAGAAGAAAACCAAAAGAAAACAATTTCAAGGTAAGGTATTGTGCATGGATTCTTAGAATAGAAGTTCATGTGAATATGGTAAGCATTACTGAGACTTGTTCATTTTTAGAAAGGCTTTTCAGATGGAGTTCAACAGCATTTAGAAGTCAGAGGCCATCAGCTGGTGGTAACTTTCCCCAGTGGGGGAAGCTAAGTGTTAGAGTAACTGAGAATGAGAATGCTCCTACTTTGTTTGAACACTCAGTAGTAAAACATAAACTTATAATTTCAGTCTTCTAAAAGATACTTTTCAGGCTAGTTATATTTGGCTTTTTAGGGCAAGGGAGCGTGTGGAACGTTTTTCTTAATCTGATGTAATGGCGGACTATAGGAAGAGGAGAAGTAACTAGTCAAAAGAAGAAGCTCTGAAATAGTTGTTAGCTTTTGGAAGCATCACTGGGCCTGTTTCTCAGTAGACTTTGGAAGATGTCAAACAAGATTCAACACTGATTGTTTAAAAGTCCTTACAGAGATCTTAGGCTGTGCTAACTGGAGCTTTGTAGATTGAATGGTGCTTTTTCCTTTGCCCTAACAGTCTTCACATGTTACTCGAAACAGGTGATTCTTTGGCGTTTCACTTCCTTGGGTATTCATTGTCAAGAGACCCTTCTGAGAGTTTGTTCAGAATTTAAAAAAAAATCTTTTATGGTACTGTCTATTGCCTGTGAATAAGATTAATCTACAGTTAAGCGCACACTTTATATTCAATTTTGTTTATACAGCGGGTGAGTCAGCAAGTGTTGTTGCTCAGGAACCTTATGAATAACTTAGATTCTTCTCCCTCCACTTAAAGCAAGAAGAGTAAAGTTGTTTCAGCAAAAATTAAGTATTTATTTGAGTTTCTAGAACCAAAAATGAAGTGGGGGGGGAGGGGGGGGGAGAAAAAGAAAGAAGATTTGACAAAGTGGTCCTTGTTGCCCATTGCAAGCTTTTTTGGTCAGGTGATTTTAATCTGGCATAGTTCTGTATATTTGAAAACCTGTCTTGTATGAATGTTGGGTTTCTTTGCTGTTAGATGATTTAGATCATCTAATCTCTAATGTTCCTTGAGCTTTCCATTGTGCAAATATAACTTGAATAAAATTTTCCCTTTCTTTTGGTGCTTTAGAATTCACACTCTGCGGAGATTTTTATTTCAGAGGATTCTGCGATAAGTTCTGTGAAGCTGGATAAAGAATATGAGTAGTTTGGTTTTTTTTCTTTTCTGTATGACTAGACAGATGTCTCTGGTGTGAAACAGTAGCTTGCATGCTCCACACAGAACATCCTGGTATACCATCCAGCAGTGGATTAGTATGTTAGAAGTACTTGATAGAAAGTCCTATATAACTTTATGTTAACAATCAGTTCTCTGCCAAAGCCTGTTAGTATGCTGGCACCACTGAAGAGTTTGTTCAGACAGGCACCTTTGTGTAGTCAAAACAAAAATGCTGCAGTGGATATTTGAGATCGGTCAGAATTACTGTTAGTTGTGAGCGTAGCTTTCAAATTTGTGCTATCTACTGCAAATAACTTACAGTTTGTCTTGACAAATGAACTCACATGAGACTTAAGTTTAAAAAAAAAAAAAAAAAAAAAGGCAGCATAGAATGACTTTCATAGTGATTTGCCAGTACGTTATCTGCAGATTTATCAGATCACTACCAATTCAAGTACAAGCTTTCCGTGTCATCTGCAGACAACTTTTCTAACTACAACTGGAAGAAAACAAGGTGGTATTCTGATTAATGTTCATTACGTATTGAGTTGAGAGAACACAGCTTGAACTTTTATGCTGTGCCTGTAGAAGAGAAGACAATACTTATGCAGTTTTAGTAAATAAGCAGCTGTGACAGCAGTGGAAGTGCAAATATGATGTGTTTGCTGGAGATGACAGCACTACTTTGCTACCACTGGTCAGCAGTGTTAGTGCTTAAAAGAACTAAACTAATTAGTTTTACATGCATAGAAGTTGATTTTGAAAGTTGAAATGTTTTTGTGAAGAAAAAACACTTTAGCTGTTAGGAACGTATTTCTTAAGCTTTCCTCTGAGAAATTATCATCCATTTTTAGAAATAGTACCTTTTCTTAGCACAGATGTACTAACATGCACTTAATACATTTAAGCCAGAAATATTTGTTGTATTTTTGCAATAGTGTCATAGAAGTTACTAGTTGCTATAGGACTAGTCCCTCAGCATAACTCAAAGCTTTAGAAATAGTGCATACACAGCCTTTTTGGTCCTGCACCTTGCATAGTCAAATCTTCATAAGGCCAGCAACAACAGGAAATACACTACAGAGAGTGCATGTCCCTTTGCCTCTCCAAGGGAAAGGTGATTTCTGGAGTGGTTTGTAGGCATTAAATAAGACTCTGGAAAACCTTTCCGCTTTATTATGAAATTAAGCTGAGCTGAGAGAACGTTTTGTGATGCAGTGATGTGTGATAATGCCAGTTGTGTTAGCCCATGCAAGTTCACTTCCTACAGCTAAGAATTTAACTATCCAGAGGTCCTTGTATGTGGACAGACCTGTTGTAAAACGTTTCCTTGGTGTGAGTGTTGTGTTTGAAATATTAGGAGCCTTTCTGCTGACAGTCAAGCAACCTTTTTTAGATGAGGAAAGGAGTGGACATATAACTTAAATCAGTCTTAAAATTTACAGTGCTAAGTTGCTTTTGAGTTACTGACTTAACAGAACTATCACAGAATGGTTGAATATGGAAGAGACCCTCTGGAGATTGTCTGGTCCAACCCCCCTGCTCAAAGCAGGATCAACTAGAGCACGTTGCTCAGGACCTTTTCCAGTTGGATATGAATATCTCCAAGGGCGGAGAGTCTACATCTCCGGACAACCTGTTGTAGTGTTCAATTACCCTTATGATAATAATAAAATATATATACACACTTACATTTCAGTGGAATTTCCTGTGTTTCAATTTGTGCCCATTGCTTCTTCTCCTGTCACTGGGCACCGCAGAGAAGAGTCTGGTTCTGTCTTCTTTGCTCCCTCCCATCAAGTATTTATACACATTGAAGTTCCCTCGGTGCCTTCTCTTCCCGAGGCTAAACAAGCCCTCAGCCTGTCCTTGTGACAGGTGTACCAGTCTGCTAATTATGTTTGTGGCCCTTTGCTGCACTTGCTCCAGTATGGCCATGTCTCTGTTGTACTGGGGAGCCCAAAACTGGACGCAGCGCTCCAGGTGTGGTCTGACCAGTGCTGAGTAGAGGGGAGGGGTCACCTCCCTCAACCTGCTTGCGGTGCTCTTCCTCGTGCAGCCCAGGATGCCGCTGGCCACCTTTGCCAGAAGTGTGTGTTTTTTGCCTCGTTCGTGTTCAGCTTGTCCACCAGACCCCCCAGGTCCTTCTCTGCCAAGGTGCTTTCCAGCTGATCAGCCCCAGCCTGTACTGGTGCATGGTGTTATTCCTCCTCAGGTGCAGGACTTTGCATTTCACTTTCTTGAACTTAATGAGATGAACTTGATTGCCCATCTCTCCAGCCTGTTGAGGGCCCTCCGAGTGGCAGCACAACCATGTGGTGCATCAACCACCCCTCCCAGTTTTGTACTGTCTGCAACCTTGCTGTGGGTGTGCTCTGTCCCATCATCCAGGTCATTAATGAGATTCCATAGATTAATGTGACCTAATGACTTCTCTTCAAAGTCAAACTCATAGTCTAATTTAGTAGAAATTAAAAGCATAGACTGTATAAAGGCAACTGATTTAGCCATCTGCATCAATGTAGCATGCTCTTTGCCTTTATGGGGGTTATATGTTTAAATAGAACTGATGACCACAGTACTTAATTCTCTGAAAGATACTGTGCAAACATGAAAAGGGCAGAGAATTCTGCCTTTTGGAGCCAAGTATATGAATTCAGACAAGCAGAATAAGATACCATGCTCTGTTATGGCCGAGTGTTCTCTGTAAGATTAGCATTTCGAAGGTCTGTATTATATCTTGGTGTGATGTGCTAATGTAGTATGTTTGTCTTCAGTTTACGTCGATGCTTGATGGTGTGGTCGGTTGGAGGATCTGGAAACGAGTGTGGGTTTCATATAGTATATTTCTTCTCTTGGGTAGCGGATGCGTGATGTCCTAATATCAAGATACGAGTAAGGTGGCTGTTGATGACTTGCCATTAAAGTAGCTCTTTAACAGGAAGAGTAAAGGCTAGTTATGTCTTAGTTAAAATGCTTCTCAGTCCTCTCTGTGCAAGCCTAAGGTCTGGAGGAGTGTAGTTTTCATGGGAGAAGGAACAGAAAGGTAAAATATTAGCGTAACCACTGATAAGTGATAAGTAAATGAATGAATTTAGGGGTTAAGAGCTAGCTTTTGGAGGGAGACTTTCTAATTCCTGCAGCCAACTCAGATTCTTGGGGTTGAGGGAGAAACCTTAAGTTACTTGAAGGGGTTTTTGGATTTATTAGCCTGGTAGTAAGCACTGGATCCAGGTTTTAGGGTGACTGAGGCATTCATTCGGTATACAGTTGTGCTGAAGCTAGCTGTGGTGGTTGTGCTGAAGCTAGCTGTGGTGGTTGTGCTGAAGCTAGCTGTGGTGGTTGTGCTGAAGCTAGCTGTGGTGGTTGTGCTGAAGCTAGCTGTGGTGGTTGTGCTGAAGCTAGCTGTGGTGGTTGTGCTGATTAAAGTAAAGAGTAATTGTTTTTGGAAGACTATATGCGTATAGTCTTCCTAAAACTTGGTGTACAGTTTGCAGTTTGCTTGTTCCAGAGATTGATGGTTAAAGCAATATCCCCAAACCTGAAGTTGCTGGGAAGAATGTGTACGTGGAAACAAACTGGGGACTTTCGAGTCATCAGTTGCATTAGGGTTTAACTTGTAGGACTGCTGAATCCACTTTTCAGGAGTGGAGAAAGAAAGAGTTGTGAAGCAAGGAAACTGCACCCCAACATTGTACATAAAAACCTAGAGTGTGCCAGGACTATAATCTTACAGAACTTTTAAAATATTTTTAGTTCAAATAGGATGGCCTTATGGAAGCCCTGGAGAGGAACTGTGAGCAAAAATATGGCTAATTATTGATTAAATGTGGAATGGTCATTTGTCATTAAACCAGGACCATAAACTCGAACCAAAACAGACGCTTTTTATTTTGTTTGCAGATTATTTTGAACTGTGCCAATTTTGTTCCTTTGAATAATCTAGAACAAAGACATTACTGATAATTATGATGCTCTTTATTATCTCTTTACTAATAGTTCAGGAATTAGATTCCTTGACACTGATGGTTTGTTGCATATATGCAGTGTATATGCAATGATATCAGTAGAATACGTAGCAACTTTTCTGGTCTAACCAAACACCTGTCAATGAAAGCCTCGTGCATGCTAGCATCCTAGAATAATTTGGTTATTCTTCAGTATGCACGCATTGTCAGTAAAAAGTCACTCTTTCCAATCAAGTGTTTTCCATTTTTCTCTTTTGCAGGCTGTTCTGGAAACTATTAGGAATTTGATGAACACGGATTGTGTGGTTCCTGACTGGCTGCATGACATCATTCTTGGATATGGAGACCCAAGTAGCGCACACTATTCAAAAATGCCAAATCAGATTGCATCTCTGGATTTTAATGACACTTTTCTCTCCATTGATCACTTAAAAGCCAGTTTTCCTGGATATAATATTAAAGTTACTGTTGACAATCCAGTTCTGCAGATACCCCCATTCAGGTGATCTAAAAATTTCCAATACTTCTGGTCTGATATTCTCACTGAAGTGCGTTGTCAGATTGAGTGGAGTTCAATGGTTGAAGGGAGGTACTCTTTTTAAGGAAGCTATGTTCATAACTTAATAGAAAGATGTAAGCTCTTATAGAAAAGAGTCAACTATATACAACAGTTAGGTTCAGGACCATCTTCTGCTGTATTGTGTACAGAAGTACCTCGATACATTAGTTGTAGACCAGTCTAGGAGAGAAAAACAATAGTAGGAGATACAATCAAAATTGTGTAGCTTTCACTTCTGTATTGTGAGATCTAGTCTTCTCAAGTTCAGTCGAAAAAGTAACTACATACTTTTCTTACATAACACATTAAAGCAAGCCAAGAATGGCAGTTTCAACTTCCATTAAAATTTGACCTTTTGAAAACTTTGTTCAATCAAAACAAAAAAACTCTGATATCCCATAGTGCTGCTTTTTTTTATTTTGGAAATAGTTTCTGAAACAGAACGTGTGGCCTGGTGAGTCCTGAATGAGAATTACATGCTTTTTTTCAGTGTTGTCCATTCCAAAATATTAGTGATTAATCTTATTAGATGTGTTCTGTCCCTTCCTGTGGGCTTCCTTGCACTTTGGCAGCTGAGTTCAGCGCACTGTGCGCTGTGGCAGAATAGGTGACTGGACTAGGGGGGAAAAAAAAAAGTGCACGTGTTTTCCCCCAAAACTTAACAAGAATTGAAATGTACTTGTCTTTGATGGAATAATTCTGACTGGGGGAAAACAGATGGATTTTTTTATTATTATTTTTTTTTCACCCTGATCAATTCTTGTCATGGCTAAATTGAATCTTGAAAAGGGAGGAGGTAATCTTTGAAACGCTGTGTGCGGAGTATGTGTGGGCATGGCACTAACATTGCCTAGTAATATGATGGTAGTCTAAAGTCATAAAAAAAGATACTGCACACAATTTCCGTTGATTAGTGTTATAGTTTTCAATTCTTCAATGGAAATACGGATTTTCATCTTTACAAACGGCTTTCAAAACATTGCTTCCGTATTAATGCTGCTGCTACTGCTCTCCCTACTACTACATTTATCTTGCAAAGAGATTAAGAGATTATTGCAGTCAGAGATGTCTCTCTTGCTTTATCAAGGTGATTGGATAGCTGTTAGAAGAATGCCTTCACCATGGTATGCCTCTGATTTAAATTAGAGGGTCTTGCTAACATATGAGAGAGGGCTACAAAAACAAAATGAAATTGAGGTTGCAAGACTTCAGGAGTTGAAGCAATTTAAGACACAGACGTAATTTGCGAAATGTGAATCGGCTCTAGAACAAAATCAAATTGTTGCTGTTGACCAGTTGTTTTATATTTTAACTTTATCTTGACTCCTGTCTGCTATTTTCATTTATGAACTCTTTATCCTCTGTGCTTTTTTAGCTGTCTCGCCTCACTGCTTATGTCTTTTCCAGCTGTTTAAAGAGCACTTTTTCTGAACTTTAAGTACACTATTTCTTAAAATCAGCATCATCAGTTTACTTTCATCCCTTTTCCTTGCCCTTATTGATTATTTGTTGTGTGCATCCTATGTTTGCTATTTGTGTGAAGGTTTGTCTTAATGGTGTAAAGAAACTTTCTGCATAAACTTTTAAAGACAAGCTGATGTCATAGTGAGTATACTGAATTATTTTATGTAGACGTAAAATGTGTGTTACAGGATAACTTTCCCAATAAAAGGAGGTAAAGGAAAGAAAAGAAAGGAAGAGGATGGGAATGAAGAAAAACCTGAAGAAGCTAAAACATTGATTGTAGAACCTCATGTCATCCCAAACAGGGGACCGTATCCATATAATCAGCCAAAACGGTAATAACTGCATGGGAATGTAGTTACAAATGGTAACAGATAGGTAGCCGTTCATTTTCAAAAATAGCTAAAACAGTATTGTAAATTATAAGTGAAATGCCATTTTGATATCATTACCAAAAAAAAAAATTTCTTAGTAAAAAGACTATTTTGTTTTCTATTGAGAACAAAGTATTTTATTATCTTCTCTTTATTTAAAACAAATCCCTTTGAAAAACATAATGGGAAATACTGGCTTTCAATATTGTCCGAACTTTGAATGTTAGTATTTAAAAGTTATTTTTTTTCCTGTAATTGTCCCCACTGATCTTTTTCGAATAATGATTTTTGTATAGTCGGTTGAAAGTCTTAATTTAAAGAACTGTGATGATTTTATATTTTTATTTTTAGAAGTATGTAAAATATTTATTTTAAATAATACTGGGAATCTGAAGAATCATTTATATACCACTGAAAATAAGCACATTAAAAGCTTCAATTTGTTTTCAGTGATTTCTTTTAAAAGCAACTGAAAATATAGAATACTCTATGGCATCAGGGCACCAAGTTGCTTGGCCTGGGCCTGGCCTGCGTATCCCATTCTCCATGCAACAAACGGCCTGTAGATCTTTTAAAGCTGAAGACCTAGTTAGAGGTCCAACATCCACTCCTAGTTATGATATCCACACGAGTGTGACTGTGTCAGGAAGGAGGAATACGCCTATTAAACGCTGGTCCTTAGAGAAATGAAGAAATGTTTAGAGGTGCATCTTTGTAGATGCCAGGTTCAAATAAGATAACAAAAGTGCTTGGGTGTTTGGGGCTATTTTCTGTTAAGAAAGCCTTGGTAAAAGGCACTGGGCTTTTGTCGTTCTTCTGAAACTTTTTCTGCTTTCCCCGGCTAGTAAATTGGCCCAAGAGTTTATCGGTGCAAATAAATGCTGATCATGCTTAAAAATACTATTTTGATGTTACTGATAACAGGTAGCTAGCTATTTCTACCAAGACTTTTTATAAATTTGTTTACTGATTGCAAATGATAGCATTGGAACTACTTTGGTTTGATAAATTATTTAAGAGTCAATCCATATATTTATTTACAAAACTTACTTGATATAGCTCAAGTATTTTAGCTTAGGTCTGCTCCTACTTTAGAGGGGTGCCTTGAAGTATGCACTTTATATGTTACAGAAATAGTATTGTTAGAACTCCCATTGCTTGAAGAATGGCGGGTCTGGAAGTGCTTTTCTTTGTCAGAATGCCTCGTTTAAGTTTTGGTTGCTTGTCAGAAAACCTTGTTTAAGGATTGATAGATTTGTCATTCCATTTTCTGTATATCCAAGTAATCTAGTGATGTCACTTAACTTGCTATTTCAACATGCCACTATATTACTCCAACATTGAAAAGGAGAATCATAACTAAATAATTATACGTTCTCGTTTGCTGCTTTCTCAGCAAATACTAACCAGCTAAAGACGTCCTTTTAGATGGGATGATTTTGTTATCAAGTGAACGCTGATCTACTGTCTTGCTTAGAAATTGCAGGATTGTTGTGTTTAGGAAGCAGATAGGTGTAATGATGTCTAATATATATATAT